TTTTTGCGATATTTTATCATGAGTGACTGGCTTTTCTATTGCTCAATTTCCATTTCCCATTTTCTCCAGTAGTTTTGCTTTTTTTCAAATATCATTCATTACGATCACAATTAATTTTAATTCCTGTTTATTGAAAACTCTTCATCCTTGTAGTTACACCAAAACAGTGTGTTTCGATGACCTCGCTATGCTGCAAGATATGTAATATTTAACGAAGTGCGTGAAGTTTTTAAAACGTGATTAATTTCGCTCTCGACAATTGGCCAATTTGCTTCAGCGGAGGGCGAACGCATAATCATTTGGATCATGCGACACTCTTTCGCAATGGGCTATACGGTACCATAGGGTTGCCGTCATTGTGGCTCCATTGACTCTCGCATGTCAAGTCAAGAAAGCAACAGACTCAATTCTATACTATTATGTTATATGATCTGACTTCACATCACATAACGCGGATTCCAGAACATCCATTTGCTTCGAATCCTCGCATCGATTATCCACGAAGGTTTTCGAATTTTTTCCGAGTGTCGTCTCGGCTTCTGCCTCAAAAATTTCTTAATATCTTTGCAAATAACGTCGAATGCTGGCCGAGCGCGATTATTCTTGGAATCTTTGGAAATTCTAAGTCTTCTGGTTATATAATCATTTGAGCAGAGGTTCAAGAACATTGCTATTGAGTCACCGAATCTCCAACGCTCCTTGTAACAAGTCGCATGTGATCGACGAAACGATTCGTGTCAGAAGTTAGTTCATGAGTGACTTATTCAGCAAGCAAGTATAATGTTTGAAAAGACAAATCTACAAAATCATTAAGGATTCTCAGCCTCTACTACCTTATATTGGAGATCTACTTCATGACAAAATTAAGATAATTGATGTGAGCCGTTCGCGGAAGATTATCAATATATTTCACATCAGATGTTATGGAGGTGACTTGTTTGTCGTACTCTACGTTCATAGAACTTACAGAGAAACGGATTCCGATCCTTTCTTTTAATTCTATTCAAGTGTTTCGGAGTTGAAATATTTTAGATTAGAACAAAGGCGTATAAGTTCACGTGGAATCGAGGTGTCGACGTAAAAAACGTAGCAGTATCATTTCAAAAAGATCTTAATATCAAAAAACTCTTTACTTGCCCACTATCGAGTTTTTCTAGCTTTGATATTGACATTTAAAATTCGTAGCCTCAATGAATCAAAATAAACAGGGTAATAGACTATGGATTTCATTACTTTCATGAACGAGAATGTGCGTATAGCAGTTTTAGAATGATAGAGCTCATTTGAGGATTTTCACTTGCAATAGCAACAGCAGTATCCACAGAGCAACAAAAAAACTTAGTCACCAATTCTCTCGACAACAGATGGAAAAACTACCCATAATTGTGAGCGAAAATAAAGTTTTATCGAATGTAAGAAAGATCCAGAATGGCGAGTTGAGTATGGAGATGATCGTTTTCGCAATTATCAAAGAATGAAAAAATTATAGAAAAAGTTCCAATACAATCAGGAAAGGAAACTATGAGTCACAGAAACTAAACCGATATTTGAACAAGACTGCTGAGTATATAATGAAGATACCTCTGCAAGAAGCGTAAAAAAGAATCAATGTGTGGCAAGTGCAGCCATACCGCGATTTGAGTGACTTGGCTTAATGAGCTTTCAAAGTGAACGTGAAGTTATCACAGTCATGCAGAGTAATGAAAAGCTCCTGGAAACATTTTAAAGAAGAAAAATTTTAAAGAAGAAAAGATTTAATATTCTCATAGCACATCAGGCTAATATTGGTTAACGTGGAGAACATATTTCCGTATATGACTACCATTCGTGTGATATCTGCCATAAATTCATTTCTGAACTTTTTGAAATTGCCTTGTCAAAGCCACATCGATCATCGTGCACTTCTACTTTATGAATCTGACGATGTCGTTGGTGAAAACGATTGATGAACCTTTCTGAAAGACCGATCAGCTATTCTCAACTCACATGAAGAAGTGACAAGGAAGATCACAGTGCTCAAAAGCTAGAAAAACCAATAAAAATACTCGTTTTTATGAAGTCGAAGATTGATAGCGATATGCCTCCTTTTAACATGTATTAAACATATGGCGAAAATTCGAAGTTCATACGTCGACCATTCCATCTGTATTTCCCTCGAAATACGCCCTTTTTGTTTGCGCCTTTTCTCAATACTCAGTAACTTCCTTAACCATCTACTGATGCTTCATAATAGAATTTTCTCTAGGAGCAGAGCGGATAGATTGTCACCAGGTAAAGTTGTAAATTCGCTTATTGATAATGACGAATTGATTTTTTTCTTGTTGCAAGCTGGTTCAGGATTTACTGGTTAAAAGTTCGGACCAAAAAGTGCTCAAATGATGTTATTGAAGAAAGCAGTCAGTGTTGCCATTTGAGCTGAATATATAGTATAGACAAGACAGAGCTCTCGTGCTTAGAAATTTCGTTAAGGTTGCCGAAAAAGAGTGACATAGATTTCAAGAAGCAGGAATTTGGAGGAGTCCGCTAAAACTAATGATTGTGGCAGACTATGTGGCAGTAGAGCGTCTAATCAAATGGGTTAACCACTGGCTAGGAGTATTGCGCTGACTTGGATGAGCGATTGGCAGATAGCTGCCGATCGAACAGACGTCTATCTCGTTATTGATGGCCAACACCACAAGGTTAAACTTCACAAGTGTCCCACTATGAATCGGTCGTTTCATGTGAACTAAGGTCTATGCGATGTCGAATTATCGAACGTGAAAGCTTGGTTTAATGGGAGATAAGTTATTTTCGATCACTGGCGCCTGCTCTGTTTCTTGGCAAAAACATAGCCTTCAATATTTGTTACCTACTACAATCATAACTCAAGCGTTCCATAGGCTCAGTTGACTTATACAAAATAAATATATAAGTATGTTCGGAAATAATTTATGTACTATTTCAGACAGAACAAAGTTCAAGCAAATTCCACTTGTCTATTTTCAAAATCAGCTGGTTTCAATGAAAGAACAAATTGAGTTATAAAGCATTAAGCAATCTCTGAGTGATTTACCGCCTAGTCATAGTGAGTGAGTGATCTGGTTGCTAACCACTGACACGCAGCAAGCTCTTCATATACATCTAGGATCAAACGAACTGAAAAACAGCTCTGAATCTGCATGTAATTAGGTAGCTGTAAGCTGGTGGTGAATTACTACCATCTTTAACCCTTTCACGCCTGCAAGGTTTGTAGCACGCCTCGCGACGTTGCATCTCACCCAACTACTGTAATTGCGGCATCGGGTCTCCGCGTTAAATTTTATTGGGGCACGTCGCGATGGGAGAAAATTTAACTAGCATCTTGGGTTCCGAGGGAGATTATCACTATGAAATGATGGAACATCATTTAAATGGCTCCTATGAGGAGAATTTTAGCAGAAACAGCACCAATTTGTTGGAAAATCTGCTATTCTAATGAGAAAACCACGTTCTTTCGAAAACAACATATTTCAAACAATTAAACAAGATTCTTTTATTTTCTTGCTCAGTGTTTTCAAAATTATTCGATAATGAAAAATGGCGATTTTGACTGTACGCTTGGTTTAGCTTGTGGAACGATCATCATACTGTATTTTACCTAGATAAAAAGATAGCGTTTTATGTTAAGAGTTCTTTGTTTCAGCAGATCTTCCTAATACTATAGAGCTAAATTATTGATTCTATGCAAGCTTCATCGCTATAAAGAGATAGATTATCATTGGAGTGTTTATACAAACAAATTTCTAATGAGAAGTGCGCCGAATTGCCCAAAACATTTTTACTTTTCATCAGGAATTGTATGGATTGCACACGCATTGCGTGGAACGTCCTTTGTTTTCTTTCTTTTTTTTTAACTCAGCACAGCTTTTCAACTGGACTATTGTTAGAATCGGCAGTTTGAACGATTAAAATTTTGATACAGAGCTTGCTTTTTGTAAAGACTTTCATATTTCGTTCTAGCAGCAGGAAGAAGATTACGTTTTGCAATCGGAGTGTGCTGTATTAACATCAGAGGGATTTTCTTGGTATTATTTAGATTCTGATTCTAAGTAAGCTCTGTCGGTATGAGAAGATATTATTAGTGGAGGGATATATATATATATATATATATATATATGCGTATATATGCATGCAAAGTCTTATTCGTGAAGTACAGAGGATGCGAAGTACAGAAAATTGTCTTGAGAGCATACAACTAAGAAAAATACGTAGAGCACGTAAAACGGGCTCATATCCACTGGCAAAAGTCGCTTCAAAAATAAATGTTCTTAGCCTAGAATGCGTAGATCACGAAAGTGCTTAAATTCACGAAACGATTGAAAAAAAACTGTTGTATGAGCGATAAAAGGTGCCAACTTGTGAAGTACCCTAATAATTCAAAATTCAATGGAAGTTGTCGATGAGGTGTCATCACATGACGTGAGCGTCACGGTTTTTCACAAGCCATTCATTATGATCTAATTCAAACGCTATGCCAATTTAAACAAATAAAATAGCATGGTAACGGTCAATAACAATTTGAAATAAGATTTTTTTAAGCATGTGGCTTTCCCCTCAAGAATTCGGGGTTCCAGACGAGATTTTGGCGTTGCTTCCACATTGCAGGGATGAATAGTGTTTATAGTTGAGTTCAAGTGGATATATAGATTTATTACTCTTTAAAACAAGAGCCTCTTCTATAACTTTGTAGAAGTTCAAACTCCTAAAGTACACTAATATCAAAAGGTTCTTCTGCTTAATCCATGGAATGGTGTCGAATTGCAATGTTCAGTGTAAGTTTTGACGAACATGTCATTGCTTTGTAATTGTCTAGGCATATTTCAGCTGAAAATAGCCTTATTAAAGTCTCTTTTTCAAACTTCACTTTTCGCTGATGACATTGTCTTTCTCGATTCGAGTGTTTCTTGAGACTAAACTCAAATTTCAATATGTCTGATATTATTTCTGAACCTAAGAAAACTGAGCGGTGATGAAAAACACGGCCCCAGCCGGGCACCGAACCGGCGTTCCGTCCATACCGGGGTCATGTGCTACTACCACTACACCACAGAGCCACATTTGCACCACCACTCATTCTTCAACATCTCTATGCTAGCTATCAGCCACCAGCCTTTAACAGGTTTGGTCGGGTATGCGACTTCGTTATATAAACCCAGTTGAGCTGACAGCCATTGTCAGATGTAATAATCCGAAATTCTAGTATTTTCACTCCTTTTTCGAAGTGTTATGATGTTACATATTGCATAAAAAGTAGTAAAAATGCTAGAATTTTGGAGTATTAGATCAAACAGCGGCTGTAAGCTCAACTAAGTTTATAAAGCGAAATCGCATAACCGACCAAACCTGTCAAAGGTTGATGGCTGATAGCTAACATAGAGATGTTGAAGAATGAGTGGTCGGTGCAACTGTGCCTCTGTGGTGTAGTGGTAGAGCACGCAGTCCCGGTAGGATGAAAGCGCGGGTTCGATTACCGCCTGAGGTATGTCTTTGCACGCCACTCAATTCTCTTAGGTATATACTGTAACATTATAACACTACAAAAAAGCGGTAGAAATACTAGAATTTCGAATTATTTTTGAGCAGTGCATGTGGCCTGTTATGGGCACTTAAACGCTCCAGTAAACTTGTTTCGGCCTATCAGCCTTATCAGTTGCACGGTGTCTTTCCGTTCAGTCAGTTCCCCGGGATTTGTATCCCCTACATAGATGTGTTGACGACGAGCGCTTTACATGCATTGATGAGTGATAAAAATACCGAACGGGCAATGTTGTATTAGATTGTTCTTGACTGACAATCGCGTATCCGCAACACGTGTATTGCACTGTATAAGTGTCCACGACAGACCACATCCAAGGCTCAAAATAGCTACCATATGGAAATTCCTTTCATTGATGAGAAAGGTTTGAATTTATTACAAAAACGGAACAATGTGAAGATGAACGTGCTCCATTCGCAAGGTCGATCGTGCCGGCTGCCGCGTGTGTGAACACCGCGACTCCGCTTTCTACTAACGGCCATGTGAAGGAGTTAAGAACCTAACAAAGTTGCGAACTTCGTTATGAATCACCTCATGTAACTACTGCATATGATGATGAATCGAAACGATACTACAATTTCCAAACATTCTAGAGAATACTACTAACTCGAGCGGCCTTCTAACTAGTTGGACAAGCTCCCAATAAAAGTGTTAATGGAAACCTGCACTTTAAGTGCATGACTATCTTAACAGTGACTCTTTTTCTAGGAAAAGCTTTCCTATGATAAATCCCAGAGTTTACATCGAAAATCTTTCGATGGTTACAAAATGGAGGCGCTTTGCAAAAACTTTTCCCTTGGTGGCCGAAGTTCTCGCACAGAGTTAAGTAACAAGAGAGCGTTGTGAGTGTCGAACTGGAAGTTCATTCCTACGATCCATCTGTTGTGATGAACTGGACAGTCAGACACTATTGTGAGGAGTTCTATATCCCAATTATCAATTTGTAGTTTTCGTGTAAGAAACCAACGACAAGTTCAGTGGTTGGCGAACCGGCCATACGAAGATTAACTGGATTGATGTTGGTGATTGTGAATTGTGCACCTCATAAATTTAGTATGTGGGATTGTTAGCCATGTAGTAGCCGTTCCACGGAGAGTTCCACGACAGGTCCAAGTGGGGACCATTATGCACTTCAAATAATGATTTGGTTTCGCTCTAACTCGCAGACCACCTCATCTTAGGGCCACCTCCATTAGGTTCGCGACAATTTAGAATTCCAAAGACATATATCTTCATATGTTCTTCTTTCTTACTTCTTTTTCCATCTTTTCTCACAATTCCCCTTTGATTGTTAGTACATCACCTAAATGTCAATTACAGGTCATTCTTTTTCTCTTTCTCTTTCCTTTTCTGCAGGTCGCGTTCAGACCACTCAAGCCATTTAGCGGCGATCACCTTTAATGGGAACAGAAGGACTCAGGTGTTTTTTCTTCTTGTTTCTTTCGTACATTTCTTATGCTTTTCGTTTAGGCTAGAACCGCCGCACCTAATGATCGCTAGGCGAGCGGGGGCACCCTTGGCCGGCCGGAGTGTTCCGTGAAACGGTTGCTACTTCCACTTTTATCGATCTGAAAAAGCCTTTCATTCAGTGGAAACAGAAGTTGTTATAGAGGCTCTGGGTAACCAAGGCGTCCCTACTCGGTTCATAATGATCCTTCGTGAGCTTTATAAAGATTTCACGACTAAGATATCTTCATTCTACAACAATAGCACCATTGACGTAAGAAGAGGGATTTGACAAAGCGATACAATTTCGCTAAAACTATTCACTGCCACCCTACAAAACGTCATGCGAACATTAGAATGGGGCGATATGGGAGTGAAAAATGACGGTCGACAATTAAACCATCTTCGCTTTGCTGACGACATCGTCCTCATAACACCAAACATCAGTCAAGCGTAACGAATGTTGACCGATTTCGATAACGCCTGTGGAAAGATTGGTCTTCAACTAACTCTAACGAAAACGATTTTCATGAGAAACGGATGGGTTTTGAATGCCCCATTCACACTCAACGGAACGACAATCTCCGAATGCTCCGGTTACGTCTATCTAGGTCGTGAAATCAGCATGATGACGACCTAGCTCCAGAGTTGAGCAGGAGGAAACGAGCGCTTGGGGAACGTTTAAGAGCATCAAAGATGTAGTGAAAAGGACAAAGAACATCCAACTCCGTGCCCACCTTTTCGACTTCGACGATTATCCCTGCCCTAACGTATGCAGCAGAAACCTGGTCGTTACGTAAGCAGGATGAAAGATCACTTGGCGTTATCGAACGCGCAGTCGAAAGGTCGATGCTAGGAGTATACCGTATCTCGCAAATGAGAGAAAGGATCCGAAGTTCCGACCTACGTCAACGAACGAAAATCAGAGACGCCGTTCTACACACCAGGATATCGAAAATGAGGTGGGCCGGACACGTGATGCGCTTCAACGACAACCGTTGGATGAGAGCCGTTACCGACTGGATTCCTCGAGACATCAAGCGCTCTACAGGAAAACTAGCGACCCGTTGGTCCGCTTTCCTCACGAAAGCTATAGAAAAAAGATATGATGCTCAGCGAATCCCTAGAGCGAGGAGGACCCACTGGGCTACTCTTGCACGCGGTAGGGAAAAAATGGAAGTGTTGCTGGTACCCGCTCGAGTCACTCGACGATCAACGGGACGACAGGTGATGCAAATGATGTATATTATAGGTTGCTTTGGTTCTACCACACTGTTTATTCCACCCCAATGCTTGGTATATTCAATATAAAGGAGGTGAACAGTGCGCTCGTCTCCATTGCAACACAACAAATCCACTGAACCTTCACCACAATCCAAAACATTCTCTTTTCTAGACCACCTAGTTTGTCAGTAGTTGGTGTATATGTTGCTATATTGCTGCTTTTCACTTCTTAGTTATCTTTCCCCTAATTTATCCTTGTCTTTGTTCAAAACAAAAAGGATTTTGATGACCTTGCAGCATTTAGTTACGGTTTGTGTTTTTCGACGCTCGCTGATGATATTGTCTTTCTAAGACTGTCATCTTCTCCTTTCGGCCGCTTTTTGATATACCCGCTCAAAACGATAAATCTGATAAAGATGTAACATGATCTGAGCCGCTATGTCTAGTGCTATACAGGAGCCTGTTTCGTCCCAAAAACGGTCGAAAGGAGAGGTATAATTAGCATAAAAGTCGCAAGCTTGACTGCCAGCCACCATAATGTCTAGTAATTCCATTATATGACTTGCGGTGACTTTTTGGTTGGCGTCGATTTCTTTATAGAAGATTATTTATCCTTAGGGGATCGGCTAACCCGAGGAAGGGTGCTACGATGAATCCCGGTAGGACGAAACAGGCGCCTGTATAACACTAAACCTAATGGCTCAGAGCATGTTATATTCTTATCGGATTGCTGTCATCTCACTGATATTTGCTTAGAAAAGTAATTTAGAAACTAGTTATAGGAGGCTTGTTATTCCTCTTAATGTGGACAGCAACATAGCAGGCTTATCGAGTTCTCACTCAGTATTTTGAACTGAAAAAGTAGATTTCCATAGAAAGGTGAAGGTGATGGCAAGTAATTTTTGAACCATTAAAATTGCAATTTCAGTTCCTCTTTGTTTGTACACAAAATCTTACTTTGTTATGCTTACATCACTGTAATGCCATTGATATATGGTAAGGAAATTGTAGTAAGCAAGAATTAAAAGCCAGGGTAATATAATTTCAGGGAAAACTATTCTCTAAAAAAGTGAAGAAAGCAAAACATAACAGTCAAACGAAATATATTATTTGCTACGATCCAAAACTAACCAGAAGTCTTTAGTTTAGTTTATGACAGCTGCAAATTTTTAAAAAGGTTTTTAGTTAGTTTACAAAAGTTACTAATGAGATATCACAGGGGATTATCAAGAAGTTCTTTCTTAAGATGTTGAGGATCGCACTGAAATCTTGCCTGGCACCTGACGTCACCAGCCGTTTGGAGGATGTTTTCCAATGACAGTGTGCTAATTTTCTGATGATAGTTGACTCTGTCGTCACTAAAAGAAAAATTTGCCGTCTGTAAGTAGCGGAATGATAATGTAGAGACCTCAGTAAGGCCATGTCTCAGTAGAAACAAAGTTAACTCTGCTTCTAAAATAGCGCACTGAGAGGAAAAAATCCTTAAATCCCTAAAACTTATCGGAGTAATTTCTTTCAACTCCATCGTCGAATACATACTGAGGAATTACAGGTTCCATCTGAAAATCGAGCATTGTAGATATTTATTCTCAGATTACAACTCTAAGGCGTTATAGAAATAGAGATGATTTGAAAAACGAGTTAGAAAAATGTTCTATCCACTCGATGTTTCTTCCTTCTAAAAAGTAGGGATATCTAGGATAGCCGAGCGTTCTTCTTACTAATTACGTTTATGAGAATTCTTTTAGTAAAATTCTATCATCTCGTGGCGATAAAGTGCGTAAGGAGAATCAGTCTTATTACAAGAGTGCCAACAAATCCGTGGTGAGGTTCAAAAACCAATGGCTG